TTTATACTATTTTATTTATTTTTATTATAATTTGAGTATTCTTGCTGATGTAATGCTTTAACACGGTTGCCTTCACTTTATACTATTTTATTTATTTTTATTATAATTTGAGTATTCTTGCTGATGTAATGCTTTAACACGGTTGCCTTCCATAGTATTGAAAGTACGTGACAGCTCTCAGCTGTTTGCAATCGGCAGGATGGTTGCGTGATCCTCAAATCAGGAAGTTTCTGGACTTATTGCTCTAAGCCCCGCCCCTCCTGGCTGATGTAAGGTGAAGCCCCGCCTCTTCTCTATAAAGTCTCTCCACTCTGCCGGTTTTCTAGCCACTCGTTTTTACTACATGGAGGAAACATCGAGAAAACAGCCGGAGGAGAAACGGGAGCTTCACATATCACAGTCAGGATGGTCTATATCGCCGCTATGCCTTTTGGACACGGAGTGTCGCTCATGACGGAGGAGGAAAGTGTGGCGGAGATGATTGGGAAGTACTTCTTCCAGCACAAAGCCTTGGACCGGGTGTCCAGTTCGGCCCGGCGGGGAAGCGTCGAGAGCTGGGATGAGAGAGAAGGAGGCTGGCCCTGTAAGTAACCTGCCGGAAGTTCATTAAATAACCGTTAGGATCAAATGACCCAATGTGATTGTGACCTCTGACCTTTCTCCTCCTCCTCAGTTTCAAATCTGGAGGATGAAGAGCGGCTCCTCCACCAGGACCTGACCCGGCAGATGGAGAGCTGTCTGACTGAAGCCAAGCAGTCCGTCCTCCGCTGCCAGGCGCTGCTGCTGCCCCGCAACATGATCAGCAGGGTCGGACAGCACATCCTGCGCTCCTCCGCCGATGAGCCCTGCGGGCTCCGAGGCGCTTCCATCAGGCTTTACGTGGAGAGCAAAGACGGACTGAAGGCTGCGGGGAGCGTGGTGCCGGACCCGGCTGTCACCCCCACCTTTGAGCTCTCTGTGGTGTTCAAGGTGGAGAAGGAGGACGGGTGGAGCATCTTTGACTCCGGGAAGGTGCTGAAGCTGAGGCCGGAGTACCGGCTGGTGAAGAGGAAGCTCTACTCCTCAGCCAGTCCTGTGATCCATGACCTCAGCTAGGGGCCCCATGGCTTCAGCTAGGGGCCCCATGGCTTCAGCTAGGGGCCCATAGACTCTAGACCCATTTCATGTCAGTTGTGAATGTAGAGTTGGAAACACTGCAATGTGATTTAGTCTTTTGATTATTTTTTTTTTTTTTTTACTATTGTACATCTTGAGCAGGTCCTCAACCTAAAGCTTTTGTTTTTCACTCAGTTCCAGAGTATTTTTGCACAGCTGCTTGTCTGACACTGTTTGACTTGATCAGGACTGAGCTGGCCTCACTACCAGAGTACTGTTTTTGTTTTTGTCATTTTTATTTATGAAACTTGAACTGCATAATAAATTCCTTGCTATAAAGTCTTGTCTGGACATCAGTCTCTTTAAAAACTTAAAGTAATTTCACCCCTTGGTGACAAATGATCGACCAGCCATCTGCAACCTTTTAAATCAGTTTAGAGTCCTGCTAAATGCAAATCTAAGAGCCACAAATGCTACATGGTCTTTAAATAACTTTAATATCTGAAACAGAAAATCTACTTTAAGCTGTTTATTTTGCATCTTTAGTTTTTAAATGAGGACAAGACAAAAGAGCAGAAAAAGCTGTTTTTGGAGTTTGTAAAAGTGATAAATGCTGATCTAAACATTTTTCATTTGGGTGACAAATGGAAAAATAAATGCAACTGCTAAACATTTAAGAATGGCATTCAGAACCAGCAGTTGGTTTCAGTAAAGTACAATGTAGAGGGTCCAAAGGTTGCAGACCCCTGATTTGGATTCTTTTGGATCAGATGTGAATGGATTGCAGTTTCCATGATGTTTGGAAAATGTATTTACCAAATTAGTTGACAAGTCTAACCAATGAACTGCCGTTTTTCCTAGAGGAGATATTGCTTAAACTATTCAATTTATGCATTCAGTAACAAATCAAACTAAATGGATTTAAAAAAAGGAAGCAATAATACATGCATTGCATGGCTGCTGGATGGAAAAAAGCTTGCAATAAAATAAACTGTCCTAATTTAAATCTCTAGAACTACCACCTTAAACTGCACTTAGCTATTTTGTGAAACAGAATCCAATATTTCCATCAAAAGATCAAACTGGGTCATTTCTTCTCTCCCTGTAATATCACTAATGAATAGTGAACATTTAAGCCCATACTGATAATCAGCCAGCTGATGTATCGCTGTTTATTTTCAAGAGTAAACAAGTGCGTATGGGTGGTGAGAGGTTATTTTTTTGAAACAATCTTTGGAAATTGTTAATTTCAGAATTGGAATTTTTTTTTTTAATCTGTCCTACTGGCCAGAACATTTAAACTCTGCTTCAAACCAACAAATATATGTACATAGCTCTGTAGCTTCATGCTTTGTTTTTTTTATAGAAAACCTTTCAACCAAGTAAATCTTATTAGTAAATTAATCACTGACCCATTTTTACATTTTAATCAAATCTTTTATTTAACAAATGTACACCAAAAACATAGAAGTCTCATCTACCCTCACTAATGAGCCTTCTCATGTACAAAACTCCACTTTGTACTCTCTAACACGTAACACCAGCATGTTTTTATTCCATTTACAAAGGGCTCACACACACACACATAACTTCCTAAGTGAACATTATAGTTCCAGCAATAACAAACTGTGACCCCCTCTTTCTTAAACTAAACCCACTGTTTTAGCACCCTCTCCATTCACAGTACATTAGGCTGGAAGGAGCTTAATGACGTCAGCAATCAAGAGGAGTCCATTTATGGAAAATGTAGTGATTTCAAAGCTCTCTTCTAAAACTGAAGCCCACTTCTGCAGCTACAGACTTAATAGAAAATTAAAAAATTAGTCTGATGTAGGTGCTTCTTATGAAGTGGAGGTCAGTTAAAGGTGATCCCACTTTAAGAAGCTGAACCATGCTCCTGTTTGCACACAGATCAGAATACCGGGAGGCGATAAAACAAAACCTCCAATGAATTCTGCTTTAACATGACCCATCAGTCCAACATGCAGAGCTTATGGGACGTCCACTTCTGACTGGACGCATCCAGACTCAGACGAACAAACGTATAAATGATGAACATGATCCAACCCCGCAGACGGGTCTTATTCCACCTTCCATTATTGATCCCAAACAAACTGCTGGTGTAAATGTTCTCCTTATAAAAGTGTTCATTCACTTTCATCCAATGGGAGTGACTACTCACTACCTTTAGCAGTTAAGTGAGACTATGCGATGGCGTGAAGTGCACTGGGGGTCTAATTTAAAGAGCTGCTTATTAATGAACAGAGATGTAGCCCCTTCAGAGAGAACCAGGCTGTAGAGACATCTGCCATTTCCAGAAAGCATCCTTAGCGACCAGCAGGTAACGAGTTCAACCTCTGCTTCGTCTTGTTTACTTCTTCATTTTGAGGTCAGCCTCCATGGCGCTACGGCGACCCCTGGTGCCTCCATCCTGCAGCGGAACACACAGATAGGTTTCACTAAGGTCAGAGGCATCGTTATATGATTGGGCTCCACAGAGAAAACACCTCAGAGGGACTCCTCCCCACATGAAGGATAAATCAGAGGCATATGGATGACTGAAGAAGGAAAAGATAGAAAATCATAAAAATTAAAAAAAAACAATAAAAAGAAATGGAATAAGAACATGCAGAGAGTAGCAACAGAAGAATGGGAAACCAGCATGGATCCAGTAACCGAAGTTTGGGCCACGAAAGGTTACAGGAAAGTGTGATGTGACAACAGAACCTGAAGCGTGCTCCGAGTCGATGGGTGACCTATGAGCCCCGATGTTTGGAGCTGCAACACCGTGACAGGTGGCCCGAATGTTTCCCCATCAAGCAAAACAAAAGGCAGTCATGCTGAAAATAGAAACCCAAAACAAACTGGAAAACAGTCATGTCGACTCTAATATGTCTGACTGAAACAATAACTGAAACGACATTGGGATGATTCCGTGAAGACAGCTCAGATCCCCTCAATGTTTCCACATTTAGTCAGACTCCAGCTGTAATGTGACAGAGCTACACAAAGAGGTGTGTTTTATAGTGGAGAGAATAATATATAAAAGATTTTCACATGGTTGCATAGTCAGCTTTGACCGGGCTGTTCTATGAAGCCCTCAGAAGAAGAAACACATGCAGACGTTTAAAGCAGCAAATGTTATAAAAATGCATTTCAAACAGCATAGACGACGGAGAAGAAAGTATGCACTCCAAAAAATATAAAAAGAACGCCATAAAAAGTCTAATCTGCAGTTTCTTTCCAAGCCATCTTGGTCGAAGGACACAAAACACGGTTGTTGGAGCTATTTATTCTGTATTTCTTTATCCATTTGAATTGTGTTAATTCCTAAACTTATATATTTTTTGTATTATTTACAGACTTTATTTATAGGTTAATTGTTGAATTTTGTGTATTTATTTTTTGTTGTTTTATCATTTTTTCTTTCTTTATTATGTAAAACAGGAAGAAATGTGGGTGGTCCACTTTCTATAAATGTAGGAGCCTGGTAAGGACCAGCAGGCATTTAGGTTAGGGGCCTATGGGTTTTTACCAGTGCAAGAGAGGTGACAGAGCAAGGGAATGTTTGAACTCTGTAATGTGCAAAAATATATGAAATAAATCAACTGAACATCTACAAGTTTGGACTTCAACTTCTTTTGCCTGCGTCAAAAAAACGTGACCCCAGTGCCTATAGTGGCTTATTGGAACTTTATTGGATGTTTGGTTTGACAAACAATCGCCACTACAACGGTAGTGGCAGCATTATGCTGTACAGATGCTTTTATTCATCAGGTACAGAAAAGCTGGTCATGGTTTATTGGAAGGGACCCGAAACATTTTAGACTGTGACCCCAAATTTAACAAGGCAACAGAGCAGCAATCCCCTAAAATTACATAATTAATTCACCCTGTATTCAATTATTCATATAAAGTGATGCAACAACCGTATTTTCTGGAATATAAGCCGCTAATTTCCCCCACGTTTTAAACCATGCGACTTATAAGAAGGTGCAGCTTTTCTGTGGATTTTTTCCGCTAGAAGGGGAGGTCAAAGTTGGAAATGAAAGAATAAAGGGCTAATTTTCAGTTAGGACAAGAACATGCTAGCAGCAGGCATGACGGGGAACAAATGTTCCTAATTCACACATTTTGACATTTATTTGCAGCATTAAAGCTGCTGAACCAATGAAGACACGCGGCTCAACTCTTGCAGAGCTGAAATAAAGAGCTGACGACGCGCCAGCTTTCAGCAGAAGCTCTTACTGCTGTGAGCTAACAAGCTAACAGAAGCTAGCATTCTTCTTCTTCTCTACTCCAGGGGCTTTATGTAGAGCTCCCCCTACAGGTTTGGTGGGAGACAGTTCAGTAGATATCAGTGGCTTATAGCCCGGTGTGGCTTAAATATGTTCGTTTCCAGTTTTTTTATTTTATTTGTGCGCACGGCTTATAGTGAGGTACGCTCTATAGTCCGGAAAATACGGAACAATCATTTAAAAAAAAAAAACTAATCTTTTAAATCACATAAAAATGATCTAAATCCATCCATCCTCTCTTAATTATTCTGTTACTGTAAAATTACAATTGTATTTTTAATATTTGAATTAATAAATGTTACATCTTCATGCACTTATTGTTTAAAGAGACATTCTTATTTATCTATTTCATGATACATTGTATATGATCACATTCCAATGATAGTAAAAACGTTCTCCCGACCACCTGCTCTGTGTCATGCGACCCCCCAGGGGGTCCCGTCACATTACTTTGGGAACCCCTGGGGGAATGAATAAAAACTAATTCAGGTGGAAAGCTTGTTAGAGCCTTGCAAATCCAATGCTGGGAGGTTGACTATCCAGCAGCAGAAACATGTTAAAGTGGCCTAGTCAAAGTCCACATCTCAGACGTATCCAATCTAACTCAGCTTTAGCTGTTTTGCAAAGAAGAATCTGGAATGATTTTCCTCTTTCTTTGAGAAAATCTGGTGGAGACAAAGAAGACTCCTTGCTAAAGCTTTAAGAATGATGCATCCAGAACTGGTTTACTACTATGCACCATGTGCTGCTCTGTCACAAAGAATCCAAATAAAACGTTTTTAGTTATAACCTGACAAAAATGGGAAACATTTCAGGGACTGGATGAAGAAGCTGAAGCGCTTCCGTCTGTTTACGTAGCCTTAATGTCAGCAGAAGAAGAAAAGAGACACAGACAGAGTGAGTGATCATTGGGCTTAGACCTGGTTCTGGTGAGATCTGAGGGAAGAACCTGAATACTTACAAAGAGAGAGAGAAGGAAAGCAGGAGAGGCCATTGGGACACTGTCCTGTAGAAGGACAAACATCGGAG